TAAAACTTTTGAAATATAAGACTATGAAAAATACGCAACTAGAAAGACTACAAATCCCAGAATCCCGGTCCCGCATGCTGGCTCTAACGGAACCGACTAACTCCCATTGTGTGTACGTACGGCTCTCAACATGCCCAGACTTGGAGTGATTTTCACCTCTTTTTATACTTTTCGCCTCATTCTGAAAGAAAGAAGTGAAATGTGCCAACGTGAGGGCCGTCTGGTTGTGTGGTGCGAGACGAGATGTAGTTCATTGAGCGGTTTCACACAAAAAAAGTGTTACTTCACAGTGATATTTTTTTAACTTGCAACATTTGATTTTCAATTGACAAACATCATATGTGTAATTCTTGGCACAATTCAAACGGGATCGAAAGATAATATTTCTCTCTCCATTGACTTCAATACATAATTTTTCCGAAATAAGGTCCCATGGAGGTCGCGGGAAAGGGAGGGACTTTGCCTCTCTATGGTAACTGAACGAGAGAGTAATGTCAAATGACGGTACAATTGACCAATTATATCTTCCCTCTAAATGGGTGGGTTTCATTATCGCGGACTTTATGACAAGTTCCGCCCGCTGTGAAGCTTTTCTTGTTTCCATAGCAACAACAACTTCGACCTCTCTATGGCCTAACCGTGCGAGTACAAACTGACCTGGAGTGTGCAGTTGGTGCTCATCTTCAAGAACTCCACAAATCTATCCACTACTCGAGCTGTGTTTATAACTTCATCAATTGGAGGGTTTGGCTCTGAAACAAGGGAGGTAAAGAAAATGGATGTAAGTCATCTTGTTTGGTTCATTGTGACCTCCTGACTGACAGCACAGTTGTGTAGATTCACTGTTAACCCTTAGATGCACTTAGAGTGACTGGACCCTACACTCTTCCATAAGTGGTTCAAAAAGGACCTGTATTAGAATAATATGTGTTTTTATGCCATTTTTGGTTAAGAAAAATCACTTGCATAATATTTAGTATGATATTTTGGTTCACACTAGAAATATTTTATAATTAATTTTTCACTATTTATAATTGTAGACATTTTTTTACATTTTGAAAAAAACAAAACGTTTTGAACATATTGATGCAAAGATCGCCGCTATTCTGAGACCCTCACAGTATTCCAGTCCCTTTTCAAAACTCATCTCTTCTCCTCTTGTCTACTCATAGCCGCCCCCCCCCCCATCAATCCATGCCGGTTGGTCAAGTTTGATAGTCCTATACCCCCCACCCTAACCTTCCCTTATATTGTAAAGCGNCAATGGTCAGCGGCAGCAGAGAAAGAGGGCACCTATGTCAAAAGTCCCTCCTCAGGTCTGCGAGGGTCGGGGTCTGCTGATGGGAACTGCCCTTTTAATAGAGACGTGTTCCTCCGCGTCCTGGGTTTCAGCTGCTGCTCTGGGATTGGAGGCATCCTAGATAGAAATCACACAGACGATGCCTGATTATTTTGTATTAACATGGGATTAACTTGTAAATTGGATCTCATTCTTAAGTGGAGCAGCTGGGAGTGAGAGTCATCTAAATCTACTTTTCTCAATTATCTGATAAATTTTAGGTCAGAAATGGGTGAAAGACACAGATGCACCACAGCAAGGTTATCTTTATATCTTTCAAAGGACATTTCGGTGTTGTTAAGTATGTTTTTTTTTACCAATTTTTGTATTTTGATTGTCATCCTTGGTTGCCAAACATTTGGTTAAATGTCATTTGTGATGAACCCACTTTCAGTCTTTGTCGATCATTTTCTCCCATCTGAAAGGAAAGGGGCGTGACACAGAGGGACTTCACAGTCCAAGACATATGCGTTCATGTCTTGCTTTCATCAAACTAACAGTCCAAAAACAAATACATGTACACGAACCAATTGAATTACACTTAAGAAACTACAATGATGGATTATTTTTTTTTTTAAAACGTTGTAAAGTGCATTATTGTTGGCATTTACCTCTATTATTTACGTTAGAACTGACCATTTGTGTTCTCTTTTTCTGTCTTCCATTGTACAGCCTATAAAAACTTTTTTACATAGTGTATATTATGTATTCTCATATTTTGTGGTGTGCTTTGAGTAGTCAGATTATGATTTTATTCTTATTCCATTTCAATAATGTCACAATGGCGTGTATTCTGTCTGACAGGACAGTCCAGAATACTTACAGTGAACAGTAAGTACCACACTTTGCGATACCTATCATGCATTTTCTCATGTTACACATAATGGAGCACACATGTTATTTGTGTGGCTTAAATCATTGGATAGTACCATTTCAAGCCACCCTTGCTTGAATACATAGCCAGGCTCCCTGAATGAAGAAAACACCTGCAGACATGCTTAGGTCAGAGCTGATTTGGGAGGGCGTGTGGTGTAGGTGGAGTAGTGCGTTGGTGTATGGGATCAGGGGGAGCACAGCGGCTTCAACCCCACTGCCAGTCAGGCATGTCGTTGTGTCCCTGAGACATTCCACCCCAAATTGCTCCTGTGGGGATTGTCCACAGTATTGAGTATGTAAGTTGCTTTGGATAAAAGCGTCTAACAAGTAACATGTCATTTAATTTAAATGATTTTCAGAGCTAGTTTCCAAAAAATGTAGACATAAGGCTTATTTTTATGTCTTAAAAAAAAATCATAAAATAGCCCTATATTCAATGCATCCCTTGTGAAATACATTGCAACGTCCTTAAATGAGAAACCACCTGCAGAAATGTTTGATTTAGAGCTGATTTCATGGTTCGCAGCACTGACCTTGGTGTGATGATGCAGGTGTTTCAGCTGCAGCAGGTAAACAAAGCCTTTCTTCTTCTACGGTCACACATCGAGGTCTCCAGAACCGGACGTGTTACCGGGTCAAACTGCGTGGATAGAAGCCGTGCTAAGTGAGGGAATATTCAGAGAAGATTTCACGGTAAAAAAAAACGTCGGTCAGGGCCTCTTTCCTCCCTCCTTTCACCCCAGAGAGGAGAAGCTCTCCTCGGCCGCGTCTCTGCAGACCCTCCGCTCTACGCCATGTTTGCTGCTCCACTACGAGACAACGGGAGTGAGCGGGGATTGGTCCGCAGACCTGTCAATCAAACGGAAAGCCCGCCCCGGATGTACTTTCCTTTTCATTCAGTTTTTTTAACTTATTTTTATTCATCCATCTGTGTTTTTTCTAGTGTTTAAAGAAGAGTATAACTGTGACGGGGCTCTATTTGTCCGTTCAAAAAACACTGGCCTAGTCGGTTGCATAGATATATATAAACACAGTATACAATACATATATATACATATACATACAATAGTCTTTTTTATATATATCTATGGTCGGTTGGGTTAAGCTCCAAAACTTTATTTACAGCAACAAAAACAAAAAACGGAACCAGCACAACTTAAACAACAAAATAAAATTCCAAAACAGGCCGTCCATCACTCATTAGAGTAAACAGGCTCTGGGTTGCCTTCTCTGCAACCAACTCCCAAACATGTCCCAACTGTTGCCTTCATTGCAACATTCTTCAGAGTGACACAGTCCAAAAAAAAGGAACCAACACCGTCCCTTTTGAACCCATCCCTCCCACAGGCTCACCGTCAACAGGTGACACAATCAACTCAAAACCAAATTTCAACAAAAGAATCTGACCCAAACATAAACAGGTTAACCACCTCTTAACATAATCATTCCCCATAATTAACTAATTAACAAACGTAAAATAAATAAGAAATTGCATGGTTCATTTCAGGAATTTAAAACACGGAAGTGATGCGCCTTCTTGGTGTGTGCGTGTGTGTCGGCTGTCAGTGGCGGAGTCAGTCACTGTGACCCGCTCCGTCACAATAGCACACGGGCTTTTTTCCTTTTTATATGAATACTGGTTTTAAAATGTGTATAGGCTTGATTGTCTTCACTAGCTTCCATGTCAAATATATATCCTTAATTTAATTAGGTAAAAGTCTCATTGAGATTCAAATCAAAGAGCGATTCAAATCAAAAGAGCGACCTGGCGGAGAGGGCATCACGAACAATGTTACAACAAATGAACACAAAACAATACAGGCAGATGAACACAGCGATTTTATAACACAAATGAATGTGTGTGAATGTCATGTGACCTAATGACTGCAAATCAGGGACAACCAGGACACACCTCTTTCTATTGGATTTTAGTCCACCTTCTATTTTATATTAATATTTTTGGGTACATTTAGCAGTTTTTTATTGAAAACGTTTACATGTTTTAATCGCCTGGTAAATGCAAATATTATATTTTAATAAAATATGGAGTTTTGCAGCTTTCATGTTTTATATCATATTAAAGTGAATATCTTCGGACACTTAAAGACATCACCTTGGACTTTTAGACTTAAACTGGAAGTGACATTTTTACATGTTATAGACAAAATTACAATTAATCAAAAAAACAATGTGTTAATAAAGACATGAATGGTTAGTTAAAGGTCCCATGTCATGGCCATTTCTACTGATCATATTTCCATTGTTGAGGTCTACTAAAATAGATTTAAATTGTACAACTTTCCAAACTCACATTGGTTTCTCATACAGCATCTCTGTATAGTATGTGTATTCACTCTGTCCTAAACGGCTTGTCGGAGCTCCCCCCCGCCCCACTTCTATGACGTCACAGAAGTGGCGCTACGGCTATTGAGCCAAGTCCACCAATCAGGAGACAGCCATTGGCATTGCCGTTCGAAAGCGCTGGAGACGCTGTAGTACATATGCCAGGCCTGTAGATGGTGCTGTTCTCACAGAATCAGCCCATGCAAAGACAGTGTTAAATTGAGCCAAATGAGGAATGGCTAAAATGCATGATCTGTTTGGTATTTTGAAAAATAAAAAGTATAAATATGTCTTAAATAGGTATGGTCCTACACTATATTATTCAAATATAGCATGATAGGTCCACTTTAAAGTATAACATCTCACATACAGTACATTTATTAGTATGTATATCTATTTTATACATTTATTGAAGCACCAAAAACCACTTGTTTGAGATAAATAACGGTCCAAAATAAAGGAAAATGTTAAAACCAGACAGAAGGTAAAATAGACACAAAGCGAGCATGGCACTTAATTTTATTCAAATCAAAAATGGATGAATTACTGAGATAATACCAACATCACGTAACATGTGAATCCTATCTGATCGATAATCACAAAATGATTAACAAGTCGTATTTCCTGCAGCTGGCTGCTGCAGGGTGAGGATTTGACAAACAAAGATTATAATGTCACACTTAGCCTGTACAGAAAATATATATTATTAAAGCATCTGATTCTCTAAAGCAGCTGGAACTGAGAAATCAAATGAATGTTGAAGCAGTTTGAACGTCAACACACATTTAGACACCGTATCAGCAACCAAACAAAAGGGAAAAATAAGATCTTGTCACCGCTGTGCCTGCTAATACATCTTTCCCATAGCAGCTGATCACATTAATGGAAGCATGATGCACCATTATGGATTTACTGGTTTCAAGTGTTAAATCTCACCTCCCACTCTCCACCACAGGGCTTTCAGACGACTCAAACACGGGGTAACACTTTTTTTTTTTTTAAATCAGGCCACAGTGGCAGCTAAATCTGGTAATACCAATTAAAGATATATTAGGAAAGACACGCTATAACAGAGTTAATTAATGATGACATTAAAACATACGTCCTAGATCCAGCAGGCGTTGAAATAGCGTGGAACTCACTTTGGTTCAGTCCTACAGGTAATTACAATCTATTGGCAGTAGCTAGATTATGAAAAACAAATACACAAACATGGCCATAAGGGTTCACTGTTGAGATAATGAAGCCATGGCACTTCAGTGAGAGAAACACAAAGTGTACGTTCAGCTTTAAATCGAGTAACGAACTCAGAGCTGTCGGCGATATTAAGGAGTCATGTTAGCATTTAAAACACCGTCTGTTTCCACGAGGAATCACACATCTTACACGTTAATCCATTGCATAAGTATAGAGACAAAGACACAACATGTACTAGTTATTGAACGCGTTATCGTACCGAGCTAGAACATAAATCCTCCTGTGGAAAGTGGAACTCTCTAAATGTTTCCTAATAAATAATGTTCCAAACAACACAGAGACATTGCATAAAACAACCCAAGGCACGCGACTCTTCCCCTTTGCGTACAGGATCTATGAGGTGATCTACCCGGCGACAGCGTGTTCTCGTAGTGTGGCCCGCTGTGAGTTCAGGCTCCAACTCGCATGTTGAAGCTCTACTCAATTTAAAAAAAAATAAAAACAAAAAAACATCAGCTGTTTAGTGCAGGAACCGGATGCTCATTTTCTGTTCCACGTCCACTTTCTCCAACACCTGAGGAAAGACAGCGGAACAAGTTAGTAAATATTTCTGTAATGTTTGATAAACACAGACAGGTTGAAGCTGAGCTCACACTGGCTGTTAAGTATTAACTCAAACACAGACAGGGTGTATGCAGGAATCCTGAAGTCACATGTAAAACCTTTTAAGACCTTTTTTTAGACCCTTTCCTACATTTTAAGACCTCATCGCCACTTTGAGTTCTAACCGGTTACCTTGGCGACACACTTTACCTCACATTGACTATATACAGTATTGATTGTCCTTCCTCCTTATCTTCCAACCATTTGGACGCAGACTTGCATTTCCCCATAACGATGTTGTTTAACAACCGGCGTAAACGGACCTTCGCGCTATCAAGCAGTGAGCGTGTGATGTCCTGTCCAGGTGACGTCAAATCCAACGGGATGCCATAAATAAACTACAAAGAATCACATTACACACCTACGCAATGATTACATTCAGGCAGACTGTAGAATACAACCTCTTTGGACCATTGATATACTTATTGAAAACAAGCTACAAAATGTAATACCTTGGAAAATGCCGTTTAATACTTTTTAATAGCCTTCATTTTCGCTAAATTGATTTATCAACTTTTAATACTTTTTAAGATCCCGCGGACACCCTGATAGAACATTAAACATTCACTCTGGGAAAGAAACAGTATGTGGAATCAGTTTCAATAAATACATTTGAACCAACTTGTTTGTTCAAACCAAAATAAAAAGTAAAACCAGGGCTTAGATTAATTTAAATGTTCTTGTAAATGTTGTGCATCTTGTCTTTTCATAGTAACTTAACAAGGATAATAGTTTTGCAAAGATTGCTTTGTTACTGTGTTGATATCAACTGTAATGTATGGTGCCGTTAGGTCATATACCATCTGGGTCTACTTTTGTTTGCAGCAATCGAGAGCAGAAACATATCTATGGATGCAATGAAAACGCTTCTTTTCAGAGCAATTTGTCATGTTGTTTTTTGGATATTTACATTTGTTGTAAACTTTTCTTCCTTATACTTTCAATAGAAGTTCTGTATTTGCTCTTATTTGAGAACGTAGTACTAGATGTAAAGCCCTTAGCATAAAGAGATGTATGAAACGTGCCTTGATGAACTCGTTGAAGGAGATGGAGTTGTCTCCGTTGGTGTCCGCCTCCTGAATGGTCCGGTCAGCGATGCTGCCCAGCTGCTCATCAGAGATATTCACACCCACCATCATCCGTAACACCTGGAGAGAAGTCATGAAAAACATGGAAAGATGAGTGATAGTCCTGATGTCTGCACAACAGTATGTGACCCGCTTTATCAAAATCAGTTGGAAGTCGCAACGGCTCATTTCAAAATAAACGTGGATTTGCGTAAAAAAAAAAGTTTTTCAGGGTTCGGGGTGTTTTGTTTGATTTTAAACAAACAAAGTCTTGGCTTTCAGAATATGACACTTTTATTTCCAAAATCACACGATAAATACATTCTTTAAGCTTGTGAAGGGAAGATTACAGCTCTCACTCGCACTCTGCTGTTCGCAACGCAGCCCCCCCCTCCCTCCGGCTGAAATTATTATGCAAGGCGTATAGTAATCATACGTATAGTAAATCATAGATAACACGGCAAGTGTCAACACACACACACACACACACACACCACACACACAACAACACACACACACACACACACACACCACACACACAAAGCACACAACACACACACAGCACCACACACACACACACACCCACACACACACCACACACCACACACACCACACACACACACCACACACACACATCACACACACACACACCACCACACACCACACACACCACCACACCCATGCTTTAAAGGGCCCTAATTCTGCTCATTCACACACACACACACACAACACCACGCACACACAACACACACCACACACACACACACAGCACACACACACACACACATCACACACACACACACACACCACACACACACACACACACACACACACACACACACACACACACACACACACAAACCAATCCAGACCGCGATGGATTCCAAGAGAAGAGGAAACTTCCTGAATCCCTTCTTCTTCAAACTGATGACTCGGGGACATTCATTATAATAATGTGACATATATTTCGGCTTACATGTTTGGAGGCCACAAAAACCAGATCCTGATATCATTACAAAGCTAGGAATCTTCCTCTTTTCCAGCCAGTGTATACAACCCAACATGTGTCGTTCGGGTCAATGCGACTTGATTTCGATAGAGCAGGTCACACATGGTGATGTGCGACGTGTAATTTCCACACAGGGTTAATTTGTAGTAATTATGGTTAAACCCACACATGACTGTAGCGATTACAGATGAAACACAGCGAGTAGTATTTACCTGAATAACACGCAGCATTACACTTTGAGGCTCGTCGTCCACCACGAAGCCGGGCGACACAAGTGTGTTTACGCAAAACAAGAGAAGTGGTGTCTGAGTCATGGAACCCAGAGATTACAGCGAATTACAGGTCGCACAATGTCACACAAAACCCAGATGGGACAACAAATATAAACAGGCCAGCGAGGCAAAAACCAGGACGTTTACAGCGTCCCTGGAGAAATCAGAGTTAACGATGAGTATCACGCCACCT